ATTGAGAAAAAAAGAAACATTTTTAATAAAAATTTTGTTGAACAGAGTTGGTAACTCAGGACTCTAAGTCCTTCAAGTCCTGGAGGTCATCGAGGCCAGAACCCTGGCTGAAGACTGAAATGGAGATATCTTTGTTCATGGGGATCTGTTTTCTCTGTGCGTGGCCCCCTGGTAGAGAGAATGCTCCTGTTACAAAGTCTGAGTAACAAAGCTTCTGGTGCTGTAGGATCCCAGGCAGAGGGGAAGGTCACCTTGAGCTAACGCTAACACCCCCCCCCCACACCCTATACAGTATTGCTGTGAAGAAAATGTTTTGTAAAATTTTAAATGTTATAAAAATGTGAATTATTATTATTTCCAACCATCTATCTACTCTTTCCTCCCCTCTTGGTTCTCCACACAAACACAAAGTGAGGAAAAATGGTGGTGCACAGCATGTGTTTATTTCATCACCTCTTACACAGGTTTAAAGGACTAGGAATTTATTTTGGGGTTAGATTTGAACCCAGTTATCTTTGGGGACAAGTCTACCTTGGTATATCAGTTGAGTCTACGATCTGGCCGACTTGTTGGTCTTGGACAATGGAGGAAGTATTTGATCTGATGGGGACTCCTGGTGATAGTGGGGTGGGCACCGTGAGAGGTGAGCTCATCACATCTCTCTTGTAATGCTGCTCTTAATAGGAGCAAGGATAAGGGTGGCAAATGGGTCAACAGGAATTTGAGGAATCACAGAATGTGAGTGCTGCAAGGAACTTCAGAGGTCATTTAGTTAGTTTATGGGAGACATCTAGGCTTCAACGTGCTAGGAATTTCAATCTCAAGCATTCATTACCTGTGTACTGGGCTTAGAGCCAGGGATTCAAAGACATACACAGGCCGAGAGAAAAACACAAAGAACTATGATACAAAGGAAAGTGAGATAAATACAAAGGGGAGGTCCAGACAAAGTGTTAAGAGAAATTTGAAGAGGGAAGATCACCTTTATCTTAGGGGTGGATGTTAGAGGAGAGGGTTTCATGGAAAGAGGCAGCAACTAAGTTGGATTTTGAAGCTCAGGGCCCTTGATTTGACATAAACTTGGAAATATTATTCCTGGGTACAATGACCATGCTGAAATCACAGATCCAACTTCTTTGCCTGCCACTGGCATTTCTGTGACAGACATATTTCATTATCTGGAAGATTTTAATGCCGTGTCCAAAACCACATTTCCCCATGCACACAGATCAGTTATAAGCATGTTCAATCAGGCACAGGTTAGGTTAGAAACCTACCATTTCCAAAAAGGTATCATTCAAAACCCATTTATCTTTAGAACAATCATGCTTTAGAAACTACAGAGCCCACTAATTATCCCCTCTCGTCCTCCATTCCTGAAAGCCCAATCTGAAAGCTACTTCCTCTAAAAATGGCTAACATTTACACTAGAAATCACTTAATATGTATGATCTGATTTGGGCCTCAAACCCACATATGATACTATATAGATATTATAGGTGTTGCTACTCCCATTTTACAGATGAGAAAATTAAGTGACATGCCCACAAAGTCCAGCAGTACTATGCCATAAATGCCTCTCTAGAAAGCTTCCCTTTTGTTTCTAACAACTTTCCCCTAAGACCTCACAGAACATTTTCAACTTCTCTGATGCACTCATTATATAATTGTGTATCATTCAAAAAGCACTTATCGAGTACCTACTATGTGTCAGGCACTGTGACAAGTTCTGGGAATAGAAAGGCAAAAAACAAAACAAAACCCTCTCTGCTTTCAAGGATGTCAGTCTGATGGGGGAAGATGACATACAAATAATTATGTACAAGCAAAATAATAGGAGAAATTGGAGATAACAGAAACAGGAAAGGCTTCTTGTAGAAGGCAGGATTTTAGCTGGCACTTGAAGGAAGCCAGGGAAATCAGATGGCAGAGATGAAGAGGAAGAGAGCTCTAGGTTCAAGATCACAGTTACGGGTATTTGCAACCTCATTTCCCCAACCAGGCTGTGAGTTCCTTGTAGGCAGGGCCTGAGTTTTGATCTCTCCCAGGGCTCAGTGCAGGTTCTGTGCTCACACAGAAGTTGCCTCACACTTGTTGAATTGGAATTGGTTCGAAGGCTGCAAAGCTGTTTCGGAAGGACTGAAATTGTAGTTCATCCTGTCAGCCAGGAGATGGTACTCTAGGAGAAGCTCTCCATCCTCTCCAGGCCAGATGAAATAGATGTTGCGTCCTTAAGAGAATCACAACAGGATCTCTCATTAGCGTTCATGGGCATGCTTCATTAGGACAAAAAGCCCTGACTGCATTCTCGAGCTCCTTCTGACTGCTTTGGTGCTAATTCTTGGCATAGTAGAGGAAAAAATCATTAATTGGGACCTTGTAGATTGAGATTAAGTGTTAGTTCAAACAGTACCTTTGCTGAAGTTCACCTTTGTTTAGCAAACCTCGTCTTTATAGAGTACAAATTAACCATATGAATAAGACTGCAAGGGCAAGATGTGAAATTCTTTAGGGAGCTTAAAATACTTTTCATGTACCTCCCCTTGTCCTATGACCCCAGTGTTTAGTCATGTATTCTCAGAGCTGGAAGGCCACTCAAAGGGCCAGCCCAAACCCCATCCAAAAAGCATTAATCTTATCCACAACACTGCCCACAGTCATTGAGCTTCTGGTTAAACTCCTCCAGGGACTGTGAGGCCCTCTATCGAGGCACTCTACACCATCTTTGGCACCTCCAGAGGTGAGCTCCACCCTCATCTTCCCAATGTATTAGGCCTAGTCCTGTCTTCTAAGACCCAAGTGGAACAAATCTAATTTTTCCTTTACAAAAAGAGAGACTCTTTGGAAGACAAGCAATTAGGGTTTGTTTGATGTAAAGACCACAGCAACTGAAGTCCACAGTTGGAGACCTGGCTCTGCCACTTCCTGGATGACCTTGGACAGATTATGTTCTGTCTCTGGGCCCCCTTTTCCTCAAGGGGGCTGGACTAAGATGAGTTGTGATACCCCTGTAGTCACTTCTCTTTGAGGCTAAAACAGCCTAAGAATCTAAATATCCTATGGTTTCCAGTTGTGTCCACCTTCCTGACAGGACATGATCCAGGTTGTTAGTATCCTCATATTACTAAAAAGGGAATCTGATAAGGACAGTGGGGAGCAGGAATACCACCTCCTCCCCAGCTCTGGACACCAGATTTCAGATTAGTGTTTAGAATTCTCAAAGTCGCCCCCTTAACCCCCAGTACTATTAGCAAGGTCTAGAGTGCAGGGTCCTGACTATTGTCCCTTACAGAATGGGGAAGGGAATGGTACTCACCACTGCACTTCTTGACCTATGAGGAATATCAGGAAATCTTGGTGGTGGTAGTTGGAACAGGGGGAGCAGAGGAGAAAGGGGCACGGTTGGGACAACCAGCTTGGAGGCTCACGAGCACATTCAGTTTTCCTTAACCCTAGAATAATCTTCTCTTGACCCGTTTACACCACCCAATTGTATTCCATGTATCTCCAACCTTCCACGACCTAACTTCTTGAAACAAAAGGTATTCCCTCCACATCAATCTTTTACAAAGTCTTCCACTCTCACCATTCAGAAATAGCTTTCAGGTTACCAAGGACCTCCTTATTAAATGGCCCTTTTTTTTCAGTCATCTCTCTTGCTCTCACAATGATGCATTTCACAGAGTTGACCACTGCTCTCCTCCTTGATACTATCTTCTCTTGTTTCCATGACACCATTCCTCCTGAGCAGCAGCCTGGTGTAGGGGAAAGAGTGCTAGATATGGAGTCAAAGGAGAAGGGGCCCATCTTCCTCGTCACCAGTAGCAACAACTGCTGACCAGCTGCCACCAACAGGAGGTTAAGCACAGAAGTCATGACAGTAGCAGTACCCCCTAGAGCGGTAAGGCAGCCCTCATCGCCTTCAACAGGGGAAGCAACTTATGAAGAAGAGGCCAGCCATCCCCAACAACTGCCAACCAATGACCACACACAGTGCAGGCAAGGCAACCTGGCAGAAGCAGCCCGAGATGAGGCAGGAGGAAGCAAGTCAAACCATTACCACTATATTAACCACCCTCTTCCTTCAGACCCTGCTGGGGACAGCCCAGGCCCCTGAAACCAAGAGCCTCGGGAATAAAGCATTGACTAATGATTTTAAGGAAGGGACATTAACATCAGCCACTGCACCATAAGAAACACTGATCTTTTCCATTTGACTTGCAGCTAAAACATTCCATATGTGTTATCTCCCCATTATAACTGTGGAACATGCTTATGTCTGCATGTATAAGAAGCAGATATAATGGGGAAGACAACACTTATGGAAAAATACGAGCTCTTTGAAAGGAGGGACTCTCTTACTTGTATCCTCAATGCTTAGCACAGTACTTGACACATATCAAGTGCATGCTTCATTCACTCATTCATTTTACTCAACCTTCTGAGCAAAAGAAAAATGGTCAAAAAATGGCTGTTGAAAGCAGAGCACTGGCGTGGAGGGACAGCACAGGAAGATGAATCATGTGGACTGAATCTATATGGGGTCAGAAATACAATGCTTTTGTATAAGTAAGAAATGGAAAACAATTTTTATTAACATGTTTTACATTTACAATTTTTTTATTAGCTAATCAACATCAACATGCAAAAATAAGCGCTAAATACAAACCTCTACAATATAGTTTTGTTTAAGCTACAATGGTTGGTTGGTTGGTTGGTTTGGAAAAGTTGTCAGTAATTGTCGAAGCTGAACTATTAGTTTCTGCAATGAATATATTTAGACCCTAGACTTATGTCGCCATCCTGCAAGGCCTCTTCAGAAACTGTCCAACGCTAGCTGATTTCCATGTGAATACATTCTCAAAGCAAGAAATAAGGCAGTAGCACTAATGATTTGACATGAACCCCTATGCATCTAACTAAGAACTTCAGAAAGACTTTCACACGAGGAGGGCAGACTGGAAGAGTCTATAAAAACAAGCAGTTTGGTTTGCTTGCCATGCTATGTTTTCTTGGTATGTTGGCAGCATCTTTAAGCTTCTGTTTGGAACAAACAGCTTCTGCTTGACTCTAGGATGAAGTCATCATCTCATGATCATCACATCCCTGGAAGTGCAATGTCTTAAGCTCAGCCCTATCATCACTTCCCTACAGGATCCATAGCAGAGAACGCAAAAGGCTGTCATGGAGAAACCCCCTTGTTTTTCCATGTATGATCATTAGCAAAAAGGGAGAATAACTGGAAAAACAAATGGGGAAAAGAGTTGAGTCACATTGTTAAGTGGGTCTAAAGGTCCCTCAGTGTTTAAGTCCTCCTTAAAAGAAAATTATTTGTGAAAGATTAAAGTACTTTTCAGAAGCATCAAATTTGTGACTTATGTTACAAAATCCTACCAATCAAAACGTTGTTTTCAAGTACAAACTTATTAAGTCATACTCCTCTCTTTCTAAGAGTAGTTATTGTTGCTCATTGATCTTTGGTCGCAAGAAACAACATTGCCACCGACAGGTCTCATCCTCCAGATGGCACATTTTGCTTCTTCGCCATCCCAGGCCGTGCCTAAGGAGGCAGGCCACCCCCTACGCTGTGTCCCCTTCCGGCTGGCGCTGGCACTCCATCCTGGGGCCGTGGGGATCTACATGATGTACACTTTCTCAGCTTGTGAGAAGTTGAAAACTTCTTTGGTTCTTGGGCACACGACTTTGTCATCTTGACGAATGGAAAGCAAGGACTGAAAAACAAGATTAAGACTGATGAATGCAAGTAAATCAAAATGAGACAGCACTCCACAATTCAGAAATCAGGCTATTAAGGATCAAAACGAGCCTGTTTGGTAAAAGTTCTGTAGAAAAGACAAGCCTTTCAAAGAGAACTCTTACACCTTCTCTCCCTTCTCTTCCCTCTGAATCTGCCACAAACCATTTACTTGTCTCACCCCAATGGAACTCAATGTCCAGAAGTATTCTTCATATTTGGTTGAGATATAATTCCAAAAATAAGATTAATGGAAAAACAAAGGAAACCAGAAAATCCTGAACTTTATAAATTCTCTTACTGCAGACACGGCGATGCTCCACAGTTTGAAGCAAGAGAACACTGGACAAGAGCAGAGAACAAACTTACATTGTAGCCATAGACATATCCATTTGGTAGCATCATGGGTGGATTGTTTTCATTCATGACATCTCCAGAAATCTTGCAGACCAGCCGGGAGTTGGCACAATGGGCCATGGGCAGAGGCTGGGCCAGCTTGTTCAGTGACTTACTACACACAGGGCAGTCTGGGTTCTTTGAACTCCCGTCTTCTTTGTAACACTGTCTGTTTCATAATGTGTCAAGGAGTCATAGCTTAACAAGGATTGCTATCATTAGAAAAAACAAGGCAACAACATGGTATGGAGGAAAGAGGGTCAGTTTTGGAGTTAGGAAACCTAGGCTTAAAATGCAGGTTCCATACTTATTACCTGTAAAACCTTAGGCAACTCTGTTGTCCCCACCTGGACAATGAAGGCACTGTACAGCTGACCTCTAAGTCCTTTATGGTTCTAAATCTCATACTCATTTACTCTGGGAAAAGGAAACATTTTTGAGGAACTATTTATTGCAATATATAAGCCAAACAGCAATTAACTTAAAATTTTTACATTTCTGGTATTCTCTGTCAAGTAGGTCTAACAAGAAAATGTAGTGTACTTTTACTGGAATTGAGACAAAAAAGAAGACACTCCTCCCCCTCCACATACATTCTCTCTGATGCAGTGACACCGGCCTCCTGGCTGTTCTGCGATCAAGACACTGCAGCACTCTGACCCAGGCACTGATACTAACTGTCCCCCCTGGCAGCGGTGCTCTCCCTCTGCATCTCTGCCTCTGGGCTTCCTTCAAATCCCTGCTAACATCCCACCTTCTACAGAAGCCTTTCTCAACCCTTCTTCATTCTAGGGCCTTCTCTCCAATTTATCCTGTACATTGCTTGTTATGTACATAGTTGTTTGCATGTCACCTCCCTCATCATACTGAGCTCCTTGAGAGGAAGGAAGGTTTTTTGCCTTTCTTGGAGGCACTAAATAAACGTTTATCTGCTGACCGACACTGGTGTGAATAGGTGAAATAAAATTAATTCGAAGCGCCCGAATGAAAAACAACCCTGCTTTTCGCTTTGCCACCTCCTCCCCTTGCCTGCCCCCAACTAAAAGCAACATAAATGACTGCTGGTGTGCTGATCTGCAAAGGGCTTGACCTGGATTTAAGGATCTGGGTTTGAATTTTGCCTTCAACCTCAATTAGCTTTGTGAACTTGGACAAATAACTTGACCTAAGGTTCAGTCTCCTCCTTTATCAAATAGGGACATTGGTAATCTCTTTTGTTTATGAGAACTGCATGCCTGTAAAGCCCTTTACAAACCTAACAGCACTACAGAAATGTCAGCTGTGATGATGAGGATGACAGAGCCATTTCCCAGAGCCAGATCATGAGGTACTTAAAGGTGATGATGATTAACCATCTCTGGTTATGGAAGTGACCTTCCACGCCAGTGGAAGCTCAGGCAGGTCCCACCAGGGTGCAAAGTTTTGGAGTACTGACCCAGAGATGCATTTTGTGTATACCATGTAAGAATCAAGTTAACTGAGTTTGAAAAGTCTCATAAGCAGGATGGCTGCAGGACAATGAGTATTTGGGTCAAAGAAATTCTTGGAGATCATCTATTAAATCATACTGTAAAGCAATTTAACAAGTCCTTTATAAAACTGCATAATAATTCTGGGAGATAGATGCTATTATCAGCAGGCAGTACAGGTAATATTATCAGAAGTCCTAGATTATAATCTACAGCTAGAAGGGTCTTCAGAGGTCATTCTGGTCAAACCCCCTCACTTCACAAGGCCCGGTGAGTTAAGTCACTTGCCCAAGGTTACAGAGGTAACAGGTCAGAGGCAGAATTTGAGCCCATGTATTCTGACTGCACTATGCTGCTTATTTTATATATGGGAGAAGCTGAGCCTCAGATGGGTTGATAAAGGCCCTGCCCATGGTCATACCCCTCAGAAGTGTGAGTCTTACAAGTTTATGACTCGGGTGTGATCTACAAACAAAAATGGAAGACAGGAAGAGTAAATTACATGGATAATTAAAATGAAAGGAATTTTGTTTCAATTACCTGGCTATTTTAGGAAAATCTATTTTGGCCTGAATTATCTGTGTAAATGCTTAAAGCCTTAAAGAATTGGCTTCGGAGTCAGAAGACCTAGGCATGACACTTATTATCTGAGGACTGTGGGCAAATCATAACCTCTCTGTGTCTGTTTCCTTGTCTTTAAAATGAGGACAGAAATACTCATCACTATATCTCACAGGGTGACTGTGAAGAAGGTTCTTGGTAAACCAAATTACAGAAAATTGGCACTAATCATTATTAATTTACATAGTAATAACAATAGTAGCTAGTATTTATGTAGCACTTTAAAGTGCTTTAAAACATTACACCATTTTATCCTCACACACAATCCCTGTGACGTAGGTGCCATTATTATTCCTATTTATATTTGACGAAACCAAGGCAGAGAGAGGTTCAGGGACTTGCCACTAGCGAGTGTCTGAAGCAGGATTTGAATTCAGATTTTACTGACTCCAAGCCTGGTAGTCTCTCTACTCTGCCACCAGCTGCCTCTTAACATACGAAACCTTTTGCCCATAGGATTCCTTCATCTCTGTTGAATGAAAGTACATTTCATCATTTGTTCTCTACTTCTCACTTCACCTTTAAAAAGGTCATTTTCACTTCCTATTACAGTGCATTATGGATAGGAGAAGAATTTATGAATAAATAAGAGACAGAAAGCACTGTGGGATGTAAAGTGGGTAACTGATTACATGAAATTAAAAAGTTTCTGTCCAAATAAAACCAACGGAGATAAGATTAAAAAGAAAGCAGAAAATTGGGGAAAAAATTTTTACAGAGTTTCTCAGATAAAGGCCTCATATCTCAACTATATAGCAAACTGAGTCAAATTTGTAAGAATTTAAGTCATTTCCTTGTTGATAAATGGTCAAAGGATATGAACAAAAGTTTTTGGAAGAAGAACTCAAAGCCATATTATAGTCATATAAATTTAAAAATGCTCTAAATCATTATTGATTAGAAAAACGCAAATTAAAATAACTTTGAATACCATAAAAGAACTATCAGATTAGCTAAAATGATAGAAGGGGAAAATGACAAATGTTGGTGGGGATGTGGAAAAACTGGGACACTAAAACACTGTTGATGGAACTGTGAAATGATCCAACCATTTGGGGGAGCAATTTGGAATTATGCCCAAAGAATTATAAAACTATGTACACTCTTTGACTCAGCAATAGCACTATTAGGTTTGTTTCCCAAAGTGATCAGAGAAAAAGGAAAAGAACCTGTAAGTTCTAAAATATTTATAGCGGCTCTCTTTGAAGTGGCAAAGAACTGGAAATTGAGGGGATGCCCATCAACAGGGGAACGGATGGATAAGTTGTGGTAAAGATTATGATGGAATACTACTGTGCTGTAAGAAATGATGAGTTTGCCGATTTTAGGAAAACATGGAAAGACACGCATGAAATAATGAGTGCAATAAGCAGAAACAAGAGAACACTGTATACAGTAACAGCAATAGTGTTTGAAGAGTAAATGTGAATGACTAGGCTATTCTGAGTAATATGAATATTCAGATCAACTAAAAAGGACCTGCGAATGCAGATGCTATCCACCTCTAGAGAAAGAACTGATAACATGGAAATATGTATCGTATGGTGCCACATACATATCTGTATCATGGACTTCTCTAATGTGGGGTTGGGAGGGAGGGAGACAACTCAGAACTCAAAATGTAACAAAAGAATAAGTAAAAGAAAATTTTAAAAAAGAAAAAAAATAGAGCGTATTAGTTGTTGAAATGTTATGATTCCAAATGTGGTGACTGCATTGTCATTGGCAATGAGAACATGTTGATTGTACACACTGGCCAATTTTACATTTTTTTTTGTCTATTACACTATTTCTTGTTTTAATCTTTAAATACTGTTGGAATGATTTAGTTTGGTTTGTTTCATGCCCAACTTTCCCCCTACATTGTGTTTCGTGTGTAAATTTCCATCATTTTCCTCTGTACTGTTCTGAAAATAAGTTTGTATGCTAAACTGTGGTTGCTATTATCTGTCAAGTTCTTGCCTGGACCCTTTTGGTTTTCCTGCTGCGGCAAATGCTTTAGATCAATTAATTTTTTTTTTTTTTAGAGAAGTATCCTGGGACAGCTAGGTGGTGCAGTGGATAGAGCACCAGCCCTGAATTTAGGAGGACCCGAGTTCAAATCGGGCCTCAGACACATAACACTAGCTGTGTGACCCGAGGCAAGTCACTTAACCCCACTGCCTAGCCAAAAAAAAAAAGTGTTCTTATCTTTATCCATTTCCTATTTTTCAGCACCAACAGCTTGCCTGAATAGTTCATGCTGAAGTTGTTATAGCTGCAGTGTTCTTGTGAAACCTTTATCTTTGTAATATGGTGTTTACTTAATTAACCTTTTATCTAACCTAGCTGGTATTCTGACCACACATAAACCAGTGATTTGGAGATGATTCTGTTTGTTAAAATTCCCCATTCCCCAATATTCTTGTGGTATATTTTCAGGCATATTTACATGCCTGAAAATCAGGAAATGCTACAAACACTAAAGAATGAAGACTAAGGATCAACCCAGTGGTATTAGAGATATGTATGGAAGCACAGTGTGCTAGACTTAGAATCTGGAAGACCTGGATTTGAATCTTGCCTCTGACACTTAGTGGCTGTCTGACTATGGCTCTCTCTTCATCTCTCTGGGCTTCAATTTCCTCATATGTAAAATGGGGGTTTTGTTCTAGATGACCTGAGGTGCCTTCCATCTTTAGATCTATGACCTACGGCCTTTACAGTGGGAGCTAGAGAAGAATCCAAAAGGTGGTAGGACTATTGCTCAGGAAGGATGGGATTAAAATAACACATGATGGTTGAGAAGGCTAAACTACTCAATGCTTAAATTTGTTTCTATTTTTTCATTTAAGGAAAACGTTCTTTAATGCTAGAAAGGACGCACAAAAAAAGTTAGCAGGGAGAAGAAATTCAAGAAAGATGGTGAAGACAAACAGCCTCTAGCCCTTTTCAGTGAGTTTAAGTCACCAGTTTATGATGAACTACATCAAAGAATAATAATAATGTTGCTATCATTCAGTGTGTGTGACCGCATCTGGGGTTCTTTCTTGGCAAAGATCCTAGAGTAGTTTACCATTTCCTTCTCCATTTTACAGGTGAGAAAACTGAGGCAAAAAGGGCTGACTTGCCCAGGGTCACAACTAGTAAGTATCTGAGGCCAGAGTAACTCTATCTACTGTACCACTTAGCTATCCATCATCATTATCATCATCATCATAATGATAATAGCAAATTCTCATTTCAGTGCTCATCCTTTTTGACCTCTCTGCAGTATCTGACAATGCCTCTTTCTGGATGGCATCTTTTCTTCAGGGCTTTGTGATGCTTTCTCTTCCTACCTGTCTAAATACTTCCACAATCTCCTTTGCTGATTCATTGTCTCTGTTATGTTTCCTAACTGTGGGAGATCCCCCAAGGACCTGTACTGGTCCTTCCTCTCTCTACCTTGGCTCACTTGGTGATCTCAATAATTCCCATGGGTTTAATTATCGCTGAAATTCAGATAATCCCCAAATCCATCTTCTATCTATCCATCTAAAGGATGTTTCAAACTGGATGTTCTGTAGGTATCTCAAGCTCAATATATCCGAAATAGAACTCACCATCTTTCTCCTCAAAACCACCTCTCCTTCAAAGCTTCCCAATTTTTGTCTAGGGCACCACCATCCTTCTAGTCTCCTAAGTTTGAAATTCTGGCATCATTCTTGATTCCTCACAAAGTAAACAGAGCCAAAGTTTGAACTCAGTTCCTTCAGATCCAAATCCAGAACTCTCGTGGTAATAGCTGAGCAGCAGCTCACATGTCTATGGGACTTGATGGTTTACAAAGCATTTTCTTCACAAAGCTGTCAGGTTCAGATTGCTACTATCCCTATCACCATTTTAAAGATAAGGAAATCAAAGCTGGAGAAGGTAAAGTGATTAGTGAGTAAGCAGCAGAAGACAGGATACTTGGCCTTGGGGGCTCCAAGCTAAGTGTTCTTTCCACTTCATTATCTTGCTGTTCATTGAAAGAGAGCTCTTCCCTATGCTAGACGCTTTTTGTTCAGGGAAGGGTCTCTAGAAGAACCGTACTGGGTCTTCTAACTCCAAGATTTGTTGAGTTTGTGGCTACTCTCACAACATACGAAGGACAACTCAGTGGGAATAACGGTTCAGCTGAACAATGAGTTTCATTGTCTAGCTGAAACCTAAAGCAAGGAGTGGTCTAAACCAAACCAGCCGACCTTTCTGAACACAGATGGTACGTCCACAGTCACCTGACTATATATCCTTAGCATCACTACTTAGGTCTTCCCTGTTTCTTTCTTTCTTTTTTTTAGGTAATTGGGGTTAAGTGACTGGCCCAGGGTCACACAGCTAGTAATTGTCAAGTGTTTGGTCTAAGGCTGCATTTGAACTGAGGTCCTCCTGACTTCAAGGCCAGTGCTCTATTCACTGCACCACCTAGCTGCCCCCCCTTGTTTCTTTATTATAAACAGAACAAACTCATTGCTAATAAGTAGCAGCTGCCAGAGAGTGGACACTGGACCAGGAATGAGGGGGCTCCATCCTGACTGTTAAGAGGCACCCTGGCAAAGTCTCTCCCTTCTCTGCACTTCAGTCTTCATCTGTAAAATGAGGGATAAGACTAGAGATTTTCTACAATTTCTCTTCTAGAGCTACCATTCTATTATTCCAGGCCTGGAAAAGGGTACAACCTGCTTTAAAGTCTATTTAGAAAAAAATCAAGTCATTAAGTCCCTGAGGATATAAATTCAGTGGGAAAATATCATTCTACATGAATAACTGGACGACTTTTGGTGTTCACATAAAACCTAAGAGAATTTTCTCTGATTAATTATTTCTTACATCATTCCTTTAGAAATATGGCCATGAAATACTACCAAATTGGTATGTTCACTGGTTAAATCAAAACTAAGGAGCATCTCTGAAGGGTTTCTTCTTTTAAGATCACAGATTTAGAGTGGGAAGAGACCTCAGGGGTCCATCTAGTCCCATTTTCTCATCTTGTGTGTGAGATACTGAGGCTCAGAAAGGTTTTGTGACTTGCCTTAAGTTACACAGACTTGGTGTGCTGGTACTAGGAAGAGCACTCTGGTCCTGTGACTAATTCCAGTGCTCTTTCTACTTTATTACAAACACTCAGAGCAGACAGGGACATCAGAAACCATCTAGTTCTAACCCATTTTATAGATGGAGAAACTGAGGACCAGAGAAGGGAATGGTCCCCTGAATTTGAGTAGGCTGCACACTATGGTGGGAATACATTCCTCCTGCCCCTTCCTTACCTTGTCAAAATCTTTTGTGGAACCTTCCTTGATATTCTCAAGAGGAAAGTGCCACCTTTGCTCATATTTTCCTAGAGCATTTCAGATATCTTCTCTGCCCTTATCCCATTCCACCTAGTAGTATGCTTACCTGTGCACATGTTTTCTTCTTAGCAGACTGTAAATTCCTTACAGAAGGGACTCAGATACTAGGTTGCTGGCAATCTCTGTATCCTCACCTCTGAGCACAAGGCCCTGGCCCCATGTTTAAACCTCTGTCCAAGATCATGTAACTATCAGGTGCTGGGGTGGGATTCAAAACCAGGTCTTTTGACTTGAAGGCCTACTGACTCTTTATATCATATAGAACTACCTAGTGGGTCCCTCTCAACACACTGACACAAATGATCATAAACCTGTGTTTCTTTAAAAATCAGGCCAGGTTCATCATTCACTTCATCTCTTCTGTCATATAGAAAACCTGTTTATTTACCCAGTGACATTCAGGAATTACATGAAAAAATTTTATTTTTGTAAAATAAAATTTCACTTTGTTGTTATTTCAATGTGAACCAAATAAAAACAGGTTTAAGTTTCACGTTATGCTCATAATTTGTAGCCAGGAAAGGATACGGTGTTTTTATGGCAGAAAGGCCTGCCTGGAGTGTGATGGTGAAGACTGAGTTATTTCCCAGCTGATGTAGCCTGTAATTATCATACCTAAACTGCTGAATCAGCATCCTCCATCGGGCAGGGTCCAAAAGATCCTGTAATGAAATAAAAGGAAAAAGACTAGAAACGAGATCCCTTTCTAGCTCCAAGATTCTAGATGAGAACTATTTATCCTCTAAGCAAAATTTCACAGAATGCTCCATAATAATTTCTACCCAGATACTCCAAAGCCATCAGATAATTAAATAACCTGATTATCATAAAAAGGATTTGTTTTAATAAAAAGAGGTGAGGAGGGGGGCAGCAGGAAAAAAAAATCACCAGATGGCAATTATAAGCATTTCATTGGGAGACAGGAGGAAATGAATTTTAAAATGAAAATATTTTTTTCCAATGTAGGCATTTACAGTGTTGAAGGTCATTATTGAAACTTTGTTATTTTTATGCTTTGATTTAAAACCCACTGATGTGACCTTAATATTCTGTATTTAATTTTCTGGAATGTTGGTTTGGTTATGAAGCGAAATTAATACTTTGGAATGTCAGAGTTTTTCAAGCTACTGGGAATTAAAACACATGACTGAGCAAACTTCTGTCAAAGAAATATAAATGTTTTAAGTCCAGTCAGCTCTGCTGCATTAAGTACCCAACAGGACTCAAGCAACGGAAACAAACAACACCTAACGAAGCCAAACCTTCAAATCTAGTATTTCTAGAGCCTGAGGTTCAAGAAGATAGAGGATAGAGGAAGCCTTCATTTTAGAGAAAGGCCTCTGTTATTTCAAAACTGTAACTCAACCTCAGGCTACGAAAACAGGTTTAATCTAAATTGCATTTAAATCTATGGGATTTTAAGTAGAGGAAAATCCTATTTTTAAATTAACCCTGTCCTACAGCAAAAATCAGTCTTCTTGGTTGGTTGAGATAGAACAGAGCAAATTTGACCCCCTAATCCTTGGATGTCCCAGAAGTAGAAATCAGAGTAAGACTGTGGCTCATATAAACAGTTGGTTAGTTGTTCAATTCTAAATAAGTGCCATAGACATTCTGGTATTTGGGAGGCATGTCTATAATATCCACACACAACCCAAAGATTTTTTTTTAATTAATCTAGTAATGTTTTCTTTCATTTCTCATAAAATGTTTTGTAGGGTACAGTGCAAATGAAATACTAAACATGGCATGTGAGCAGCCTACAGATTCTGAGTCACCACCAAAAGAACTATCTTGATTATGAAAAGGCTTGAGCCTGTGTCTTGGAATGGATGAATTAATTCACAATATACAAAATGCACATATATAGACTTAATTAAATGCCTGCACTCAACAAAGAGTTCACAGACTTAACAAGGTTTGCTCTGAAAAAACTGCTTTCTATGCACTCTCTGACATGTGGCTTCTGTAAAGCTAAGTATTTTGTGTTTTTAATTGCCTCTGGGAGTTGGTATGTACCCAAATTCCAACTCTACCTCACTGTGGAGCATGATAAGGAATTTTTTTCTAAAGGTAGTTTAATTTTATTTTTAAATTTAATTTAATTTTTTGGGTTACATTTTAAGTTCTGAACTGTCTCCCTCCCTTCCCCTCCCCACTAGAGAAGGCCACCATTTGACACAGATTTATAAGCAGATTTAAAACTAAACTATGCATACTTCTATTTATCATCTACAAGTATTCCCAAGAGATGCCTAACCACTGTGGTGCCTTGCCCCAGGGTTTAAGCTTCTCTTGGTTAATGCTGGATAGTGTTTGCTCCTGCTGCCTTCACCCCACCATGGGTACTCACTCTCTGTTCTAAACATTTTTCCAGCACATATGCAAACAACTAGTTCTATTTCACACTTATTCGGGAGGGGGAGGGGATATGAATGGCCTACAGTTTTCTGGGCTACTCAGGTGCTTTACAGTTAGAAACAAATGGCAACTAGGGAATTGTTATTTCACAACTCAATGGCTGTAACACCCAAAGATCTTCATTAAGTTTTCTAAGGGTAACGGGGTGTGCACCTACCAACGAAGTAGGTGCCAAACCAGACCATCCTTGTGAAGGGATCAGAAGCAAATATGTGCTACGTTACCTTAAAGTGGTTCGTGCTCTTTGCTCTAGCTTATAACATGCTAGGCAATGTTTATGCACACACCAATAAATACATGTCTGTAGAGGCAAGCTTGGAGAGAAAGCTGAGGAAGGTGGTTTAGTGGACCTCAGAATTGGGTAAGACAGTGCAACAAGGAGGAAAGGTACATGGCGGCAGGATTTGGAAGAAGATAAATTCAAAGGTACAAATTTATCACTTTGTTGGGGGATAATTTTCACATTGATGAATGAATAAAAAAGCATTTATCAAGTACTGACTATGTACCTGACAATGTGCTAAGTGCTTAGGCAAGACAAAAAGCACGATAATTCCTCCCTTCAAGGGGCTTGCACTTTGATAGGGGAAAACAATACAAATAGGACAGCGGAGGGCAGGGAAAGAGTTTTGCTATGGGAAGTTACTGCGATGATGATGAATGGCATCATGGGGCAATTTATTAACCTGGTCTTAACAGTGTTGTTTTAATTACTATTCCTAGAGCTAGACACGAAAAGTAGGAGGTGCAGGGTAGGGAATCAGAAGGAAAACATCAGGATTAGGTCAGAGAGAAATGCGGTAATTAGAGTGACTTGGGAGTTATTCACAGAATGATTTCAACAGAAGCTATAGGAATAGTTGAAGGAGCCTACTGGCAAGGTCAGCCCTGTTCTAGAAAAGGCTGCTCCATCATAATTAGAATGATTCTTTTGAATTGGACTGCCAAAGACCAACGTTTTTAATCTAGCTTAATTCAAGGAATCAGAAATGTGAAAAATAAACAAAAAATTGTATAAAAGTCCCAACAATGAGACTTTTAGCTTAGTAAAACTAAAGAGGGATGAAAGAACTGACCTAAATATTTATGGCTTTCAAGTAAAATTCTATCTCTGAAAGTTAAAGAATTTTTATTATGCAATAGTGAGGCATTAAGAAAACAGAGGAAAAAAGGGCTATTTTCCTAACTAAGTTAAAAAAAAAGACCCGTCAAATGAAATTAATCATCAAACTTGGAGTTCTTTACTGGTCTTCATAAAAGAGGGATTCCTCTACACTGACAAAAATTACAGCCATCTCTCATTTCATAAAAAGCTGATCTGTTGACCATTTGATTATAGTCTTTTAAAAATCTTGCTTGAATGTTTTAAAACTGATGCCTCTGACACAAGGAAACCATCATCAAAGAATACTTTTATTTTCTTTTACCATGAGAAGTCTCTTCCTAATGAGTTGTTGGAATAATTACATGGGAATGAATGTACCACATATATGCCATGTAACCTACCACAGTTTGTAGTACCTTTGATTGAGAAAGCTCACATTCAGCTTAAGACTGTAGCAAAATCAAGACACCTAAGCAATCATACATCAATTTTGCACCTATCATGCCATAATAGGCTTGCATTCACTTTATGTTAAATGTCAAATTTCATTTCAAAGTCAGAAATATTCACAATGGAGTGTGGGACTGTGTAGTTCCATGTTCTTTCATCCTTACGTACAGGTTAAATAAGACAAGTATATAATTTTTCCCTGTCCAATATTACCCTACCCCTAGACAAAAACCCTATTTTGACAATAAAAGACTCAAAATGCTCAAACATTTAAAATGAGCAAGAATTCATTTTCAAATAAAAACAACTTTATTTTCTTGATGTTGTCACAGAAATATTTAGAAATATTTCTTTGTGGCACAAGATGGAAGATGATTTTTTAATCTTCTAAGCATAATTTTGTGTTTTGGGCTGTATTTCACATATCATAGATAAAGGAGTTACCACCTGCTGGGAGTTTTATCTGACAATCTGTTGGATCCTTCAGCTTTCCTGGAAAACTTTCTCAGTTTCTTACCTATTTTGGAAATTTTGAGTTGTGATTGTTTTTTTCTGTCTAAAATACTATGAAATTGCTAATCTGGAAAATTTTATTCCATGTTTAGAATTTCAATGATTAGCCTGGTATTTATATGGGAGACTAAATAATAGGACTTTAACTATCAAAAAAGTGTAACCAAGAAATTGACTGTCCTGAAGAATCTGCTTTGATGAACATGTATTACCAGGCACAGCTAAATTTTGACCATGAAGGGAAGAACAATTTAGGTCATGTAAACACATTATTAAAACCAAACATTGGTCTCCTCAGGTTACTAAAATCCTTATTGCATAACAGTAAAATAGTGAAATCCTTTTAGTAGGGTCCCAAACTTACAGAAAATTCTCACATAATGAAGAGAGTAATCAAAGCTTGAGGTCTTAATTCCACTTCCTGTTTTAGGAAAAATTTTGGTTATTTGAAAATGATTACCTGATTAACTGGAATCCCTAATAAACATGACTCAAAGCCTCTGGACTTCCTGTAATATTTGAATTGAAGAGATAGCATCTACTAAGTTCTAGCTGACCTTTTACATGATGTAGTCAAATAGAGGCTAGAGAATTGCCAGAGGAACGTTCTCGTTTCGGGATACCGCTCTATCTTGTTGTCTCACCTTTGGCTGGGGAGACACCAGGATAATTTTTACATCGGTTTTGTTTCTGAAAGTCCATTTGATTTCTGCTGAGTTAATAATGGCCACTAGGTGACCTCCTGGAGCCCTATGCTAGGAACTAGTAACACATAAAATCAAAACTGTACATCTGATTTGGTTTAATTACAATGCAACCTTAGCAAAACCTTATGACTTAGGGTTTTTTTTTCTCTCTATTACAACTAAAACTTACTTTTTATCCTTTGGTGTCCTGATTGCATGTATTCTTCTTATTTTTTTCCTGGTGCTTTTGTATTTGATTTATATAGTACTATCCAAAGATGGGGATTTTAAGCTCCCCCATTTCAAAATCTACAAGTTTTTAGGCTTTAAAAACCGTTATGCTGCTACTGATTCACTACCAACCAAAGAGGCTTCATTTAGTTACTTCACAATGTAGTACTGAATATTTTCTAGATTTCCTATACTTCTTTATTTCGTCAAGGTACGCAATTCTGGGTGGCTCTAACAGGTTAGCTGGTAACTGTAAATCTGGTTGGGGTATATTTTAGAAGGTACAAAGATGCCTGGCAGAGTTTCCAAGGGCTATTCTGCAGCTCATTGGCCCAAACTGCACAGGAAATTTCCAATCAAATTTGGAAACTTACCCTTCTCATTGGTTCCTTCTTTAACACCTTCCAAAAGTAAAGTTTCTCCCTATCTTGTAAAAACTTTTAGCGGCAGCTAGGTGGTACAGTGGATAGAGCACTGGCCCTGGATTCAGGAGGACCTGAGTTCAAATCCAGCCTCAGACAAAACATCTGACACTTACTAGCTGTGTGACTCTAGGCAAGTCACTTAACCCCAACTGCCTAAAAACAAAAAAAAAAGTTTAAAAAAAACCTTTTAATAAATCCTGTTACTTCTCACTACTAGACTATGTCTTTTCCCTTTAAAACCAAGTTTTTCAAAGGGCTGCCTTCATTTCCTCATCTCTCATGTCTCCTTTTTCCACTTCAGTTTGCTTCCACACTGACTATAACTACACTGAATATTCACCAGTGATCTAATCATCAAAATCAGTGGCCTTTTCTTACTCCCCTCCTTGACTTCTCTGCTATCTTTGGCCCTGCTGAGAGACATCTTCTATCACAATGTCTCCATGAAATATTTCCTTAGAACACTGTAGCTAGTGATCTCATCTAGGCCTGAGCTTCCATGGTTCTTTGTACCTGTGCCCCTCAAGTGGTAGTCAGAATACACTGTCTTATGCTGTAGTGTCTGGACAGTAAATGGTCACAGCACGATCTCAGTTATTTGGGCTCAGAACCAGTCACCCCTGAGTCTGCCTCTCCTCTAAACTTCCACATTGAGTCAGTGGCTAAGTCTCATCAATTCTACCTCTGTATCTGTTGTATTGGTTGTCTTGTTTCTCCCTCCAACTGCTACCATATTTGAAGCTATCATTACCACTTGCATGGTCAATTACAGCAATCTTCTATTTGCTCTCCATGCCTTCACTGTAGGCGTACTCCTGTCTAGTCCATCCTGCAAACAGTGGCCAAAATCATGTTCCTAAAGCACACATCCAAGCACTTCACTCCTTGCTCAAAAGGATTCAGAGGCTCACTACTGCCTCGAGGAGAAAAGAAAATCTCCCTACCCTGGCATTTAAGGCCCTCTACAATCTGGCTTTAATCCATCTTCTCCAGCCATATTTCATATCACTCCCTTTTATATACTTATCTTCCAACCAACCTGGACAGGTATTCTTTCAACTTGATAATCAGTCTCCAGGTTGTATACTCATGTGATCTGTCAGGACTGGAATGAGCACCTTGCACAAAATATTTGCTTAATTAAAGCTTGTTCACCAACTCCTCCATTCTGCCTTTAAGAATCCTTCTCTTCAGGGCAGCTAGGTAGTGCAGTAGATACAGCACTGGTCCTGGAGTTAGGAGGACCTGAACTCAAATCTGGCCTCAGATACTTGACACTTACTAGCTATGTGTCCCTGGGCAAGTCACTTAACCCCATTCCTTCCTACTCGAGCATTCTGTCTAGATATCTGCATTGTTTTTCTCACTTCCTATTTAATATCAGCATATTCCTAATAGAATGTAACCATCCTGAAAGCAGGGATTATGCCATTTTAAATCTAACAATCCCCAATGGCTAGCATAGTTCCATAGCTACAATAGGGGTTTAATTGCTAAATCCTTCACAATGTTTAGCAGACATATGGACTACTAATAATAGCCAATATTTATATACGGCTTTAAGATTTGCAGAGGATTTAACATATCTTCTCTGATTTGATCCTCATAATCTACCAAGGAAGTACAAAAGGTAAATTTTATAACTAAGTAAATAGATTTAGAGAAGTGATTTTCTCATAATCATAAAACAAGTTACTGTGAAAGGACAGATGGGAAACAGGTCCCTCCTCACTCCAAGTCCAGGGTTTTTTGTTTTGTTTTTTTGCATTCTATTCCACAGTCTCCCAAGAAGGCTGTCCAATAAACATTTGTGCAAAGACTAATGGAATGAACCTCTCTTGGCACTCAGTGTCTTCCTCGCTGTACACTCTTTTATATGGTATCAACGACACCTACATTCATTCTTCTTTTACTAGGCTCTAAGATCCATGAGATCTCCACGTCATTTATTTTCATGATCCTCACAGAAAAGGCCCTTTAAATAAGTGGAAGGCACCAAGGCCTAGGGAAGAGCTAACCACTAGGAATGTAACTCAGAAGTACGATGGCACCATAAGAAAACAGAAGAGGCACTGCGGTAGAGTGGATCAAAAGCTGGTTTCTGAGTGATGATGACTGGGGTGAAGTTTCACCTCTAAACCATACTGGCTATGACCCTGGGCAAGTCACTGAACCTCTTGATGCTCTGGTCCAATCTCTAAGATGGCAAGCTGTTAAATGGTGGCCTATCTGACCTAGCAGAGGGGATTTCCTTACTGGGAATTACCTATATCAATGAAATCAAAAGTTTGGACTCAGAAAAAATAAAGAATCAACTGTTGCAGAGTAAAAAATGCAGACCCAGAAAAGGGTAATGATTTTTTAAAAAGCAGCTATAAGCAGATCAAATGCAGCAACCACATTACTTATTCTTGAGGACAGAGGATGAAAAGAACTCCCTTTAAGTGGTAGTAACTACGGTTAATAAATACTGTCTACTCAGATGGAGGCTGTCTCTTGGTTGACTTTTCTGTGTTACATCAGAGTTTGGGGTTGAGAGTAGATACTGGAAAGTGACTGTGGTATAAAGAATAAAAATTCTAAAAAAATACAATAAAAAGTATGATCACACATATAAATAGTGGCACTAAATAAATGTCAAAAGAAAACATTTTGTAGTCGTTAGAAAACTATGGATAGCCACAATCCCATTACATAATAGTTTTATCTCAGTTAGTTGACTATATCGCACAATTATAAAAGTTACCTTATAAGGAGAGATATGAGTGTCTGAAGGAAAGGCTAACATTCCCATCACTTGTCGAACCTCATCCAACTGACTTCCTTCAGCTTGACTGAAGTGCTTTCTTGCGTGTCTAAAAAACAATTTGGAATATTGCAATCTATATTATTCACCTTAATGAATCTGAGATGAAAAATAAAAGCATTTGTATAATCTGTATAAAAATGATTAGGAAAAGGAAAGCTTAGCTGCAAACTCTTAGGGATTCTAGACACAAAATCACCAGTATAACATACATACACTAGACATGAAGAGAGAATTTATTTTAGTATTAAGAGAAGTTATCACATATCTGAAGCTCCAAGCTCAAAAACAGTAACATCATATTCAATTTATCTGCTCATTTCCATCTATCACAGTAATTCCTATCATTTGACAGAAAACTGGCAAAGCAATCAAGAAATCAGATCTCTGTCTATTCTGTTAGAAATAACAGTGGACGTTTTCATGCAAGTCCAAAGGTGGCAAAAGTCGTCATTAACTAAATCATTTCATTTACGAAAATGCAAACCAAGAATGAAATGAAGCAAGTATGTAACACTTTACAGGATATACTAGAGACCACATTAATCATTAGATATGAACTTGCTCATTCACATTTTACTTTCCAATCATCTGTTTTAAAAAATTTTTTATCATGGATTTATATAGCACTCTTACAAAACTATAAGACCCTTCAGTTGCCAAATAGAAACAAATGAGTTCACTTAAATTCACAAACACACTTCAAAGACTAGCTATTCTTCACTTGTCCAAATTCTTTAGACACAGAAAATGGGAATGGGCTGCAGTTAATGGTCTATTAAATTTTTGTCATTTTTTTAAACATCATGATAATTTCCCCCAGTACCCTTTCCCTTCCCTCTCCAAGAGTAATCATGTATAAAAAATATCTTAAAAGTTAAAAAAAAAAAGATGGAAAAAAAATCAGCATAAGTGCTCAGAACTTCAACAAAGTCTGAACATGCCGGCAATGGACAACATACTTGTAGAATTCCTACCTCTGCAAAAGGGGGAGGATAGACATCTTCTCACACTTGTTCTTTCAAGTAATTTTTGTGCTTTGAAATTCGGCTACATTTTCATTCAACTGTTCTTTCCATCTACATTGCTTCAGTCACTGTGCATACTGTTTCCTTAGCTTTGCTTATTTCGAGATGTATCAGGTTCATGGAGATCTTTCTCTATTCGTCATATCATCATTTTTTAGAGCACAGTAACATTCCATTACATTCATGTACCAGTTTGTTGTTGGTCATTCCCTTATCGATGGACATCTACTGTTTCCAATTTTTTGTTATCACAAAAAAGCTGCTATAAAATTTTTGGTGTACATGGGGACTTTCTTCCAAATAATGTTACCTTTGAGGTTTTATATAGTAGTGGAATCTCTGGGTCAAAATGTAGGGACATTTTAGTCACTGTATTTGCATAATACAAAACTACTTTTTAAAATGGTTGTACTGATTGACAGCTCTGCCAATAATGCACTAGTGTGCCTCATCTTCCCACAATTCCTCCAACACTGAATATTCCCATTTTTTGGTTATGTTTACCAATTTGTAGGATGTGAGGTAAAACCTCAAGGTTGTTTGGATTTCCATTTCTCTTATTATTAGTCATCTGGAGCCCTTTTTTGTATAGGGTTGTTAATAGTTTGTAATTCTTCTTTTATGAACTGTTGAGTCAAATCCTTTGTATGATCTATTTTGGAAGCTACTACAATTATGTCAACGGAGTGCAAAGTCTAGGAGGTTCCACAAAGCTGGAAAGGTCTCAAGTATAGTTCCAGTGGTAGCTTGTGTCTGCTGTCTGAGAACCAGTCTTTCTTTGTACAAGAAGACATGACACAAGTAGCTAAGCTCCTAGGTGAGCAATCCCTGGCCAGGGCAAGCTCTGAAACAAGGGAAAAGATGAAATGTTTCTCTGACCTGAGCAGTGCTCTTCCACTCCTACAGTGGCAGACTGGTAACAAAATGGGCAGAAGCTACCCAGAATCAATGTTTTTATGTGATAAACAGTAATTTAATTGTTGGTACTTTAAATACATGATACTTGTTCAATAACCAACAAGCCTATACACTACTCATGGAGAAATTAAATCACATCCATATTGACCTTGTTATATAAATAAAAGCATTAATGAAATGAAAGTTGCAGATAGATGGGAGGACAATTTACAGGTTCTCCTTGTAGAGGAATATAAAGGAGTTGGTGGAGTTGATTCTAGTGGGCATCCAAAGGCAACAAAACTCACTTCATGGAATACTTGGTCATTCTACCTTGTGGTGCTGAACGAGTACAAAGAAAAAGCTACTTTGCACATAACTGTGCCTTAGATCTAGACATCGGCATCAGAGGATAAGAAGGTGGAGAAATTCTATGAAGAACCTGGTAAAATTCTTCAAGTTAAATCAACATACACTTCAAGTTAATGAAAGGCGTATTGAAAAAAAAATGACTTAAGATCAGGAAACAAAAGAGGCCAAAGTTTTTCAGACAAAACAGATACCTCACGTTCACAACTGTGATTACTGTCTTCAAGAAGAGAGTAGAACATTGTCCTTTCTATTAAAATGGTAAGTAAACTACAAGAAGGCAAAGGATATGGACTATTAGTTTCAGTTACTCTTTAGAGAGGTCTTATTTAACTCTTCTTAACTCTGTAGAGGATTTGTTTCTTTTTTGGGAAGTCTCTGGATGTCAAAACAAAATGAAACTTTTTTTTTAAGGCTGAGAAACACTGGCACTGAATGACATGCAAAAATAAGAAATTGAATATATTGAAAATACCTGCTTACAGATGTGGAAGTAATTTCTAAATCATCTGGTTGTTTACTGTAGAACTAGGGATTTGTTAAAGCAGAGAGAAAAACTGCCAGCAGATAAAAATAAAGGAAAAAGATGAGGAGATATGGCAGGAAAACATGACCTAAACTGCAACCTGATATGTTTAAATAAGCCACTGATGTTGAAAAATAAGAAAGGGATAAAGGAACAAACAACACCATACACTATAACCATTTCATACACACACACACACACACACACACACACACACACACACACACACACATATCCAAATACAAAGCAACTAGTATAACAAAGGGTTCAAAGATCCTAGAACCACTTCAGTCAGTAAACACTTGATCTCCTGGCCAAGTAGAAAGATGTGACAGCCAGGGCACCATCAAGTTAGAACATAAAGTCATTCTGAAAACTTTAAGAAGAGAATGGAGAAAAAATATTAACAGTTTGCTCACAAAACAATAGGGAACAATGGAAAAAGAAAGTAAGGTTGCCAAAAGATGGCCCAATTAAATCAGATCATTCTAAGAGCATTTAAAGATAAAATTGGAAGGAGATGGACAAAAACTGGAAATAATCTGTCGACATTTTTATAACAAACTATTTTCTTTTAAAAGTGTCAATGGAGTCACCAAATTTGGACCCTAACATCCCAGCCCATGACACGCTACAAGAAGGAATAAAAAGAAAACTAAACATATCCGGATAAAGGTAGAAGAACAGCTCGATCTAAATATACACAGAGATGTGTGCTGAAACTAAAGCAATTCTGAGGGCCTTTAAAAAAGCAATATTAAAGAATATTATTCCTTCCCCAAAAGTTTATATGAGCAGATATCAATAACTGCTGACCTGCAGGTCTACTACTTCGCCTCTATGGTAATATTTTATACATGTGTCAAGGGTACCTTTGATGAAAAAAAAAAATCAAAAGGGACCATGTAGGCTTTTCCAAATAACATTCTCCAGTGGACTACAACTATAAACTCAGGAGTGATAGAAAAGTAGAGAGAATACAAAAGCTCAGTGTTTGTTGACTATATAAAAAGCACTTTATTTGGTAAACTCTCCTCAAACAAAATAGCTCCCACATGTCAAAACTGTACAAAATTCCTTGATAGATTGCTCTGAGAGACCTTCATTGATGACTCTGATAAATACCGTCATGAGGTGTGAAACAGAGGAAATGTATGCACGACAGATGATATCATGCTTACTACATCAAGTTTTAGAACACTAGAGAGCCTCCTAAAAGAGATTCCCAATTACTTAAGAGTTCAGCCAAGTAATACACAGAGGGAAAACCAAATGGATGACAAATACATACTTTCTAGATTATGGCATATGGTTGAAAGGGCAGTCACTTGAGTGTATCTATCAGCACATCTATCTTGGACAGATATGACAGATGGCTGAGAAATGAATAGGAAGAAGACAGTAGGCTGGATTGCATTTGGGTACTGCAATCAATGATGCTGACAAGTATCCTGAAACAAGTACTCATCTTTTTTAACACTAACATATTCTCAATGATAGGTGTGAATCATAAAGAAACAAAATTGTGGGTCACTAAAAGGCTAATGAAGAGATGAAAGATGGATATGAAGTAGGGGCTGCATCTTCGTATCTAATGATAAACTTTGTGCAAAAAGTGGAGTAAAAGATATCACAGAAATCCACAAGTAGTTTTTTTGCTGAAAAAGTAATTGGGTAAGCAAAAGTAAAGAGTAAGAGATTATTCACAATGACATAATCACATATCAACTGAAGAAGGGGCAAATAAATACATTGGACTTACAGTTTCAGTCCTTAGGGGAGACTCAGGAGCTGTAAGGATAAGCCAGAAGCTTGTTAGACTGAGTTGACACAATGGTGAATTAGGTGCCAATCATCAGGAGAATCCAATAACCCATTTTCCAGTATCTCTTCTGCTCCCCGTTACGTGAATGATGAGTTTATGATCACATTTGCAAGCTCCTTTACTACTCTATGAGGCAAACTGTCTGGGTCTGAAGACTGGAATATTTCAATTAGCTCTCATTTACTACTCTCTAGAGGAAGCTGGGTGGCACAGTGGATAAAACATTGGATCTGGAATCAGAAGACCAAGCTGAAAACTGGCCTCAGACACTTACTGTGTGTCCTTGAGCAAGTCACTTAACTGCTGTCTATCACAGTTTCCCCATGTGTAAAATGCAGATAATAGTAGCACCTACCTCCCAGAGTTTTTGTGAGCATAAAATGAGATATATGTAAAGTACTTTG